TGGCAAAAATGCCATCCTATTTGATATTATTAAAGTAGATCAGATCGTATATCGCCTGGACACCAAAACTTTTTTTTAGCTAATAGTTTTCAGTTGATGCATTGTAGAGCCCGGTATTGCAGGCTTTCGTAGCTGTTTACGAGTTCTGCCACATCTATATGAGCTGGTATCCCTTGTTTAAAGAAAAAGAAAGAGGATTCCTGCCAGACAACTCTTTCTTTTTCTAACTACTTCCTGCCGCAGGAAGTAGTTGTGTAGATGGTGAATGGCAAGGTAATTGCCTTGACTAACATGCACCTATCGCGAAGCTGTTGCAAAGTGCGAATGTTTGATTATTGTAGTATTACTGTACTAGGTATCCCTCTGTAGGTGGCGGACATGTCCAATGATATCTCCATCCATTATTTAAAGCAACAAAATCTTTACTTGAAAATTGTGAGTTGTCAGAAAACAAAAACAGAGAGCTTCTGTTTTTTTTTATTTTATCCAGATTAGCATTGTTCTAGAAACTTGCGTCGTCCCAACAACTCCTCTAATGATTCTTGATCGTCTTGTAATGCCGAGCTGCTATCCAGCATTTGGATGCTACGGTATTATTATTCAGTGGATATTAGCCCTTTAAAAAAACATCACGTCAATTTTAAAACGTGCCATGTGCAAGATACAGTACACAGACCCGAGGGAGCTTGTGTTTCGGTGAATACCACCAAGTCTCCGATAGACGCCGCTGGACGCTCCACAAGCCGGTTTAAACAGCGGCTCCTTTTGCAATAGACAACCTCCCCGTCGCTCCATTGAGGCCAGGAGAACAGATCACGACTTGGCAAAGAGGTTCTTCTAGGGTCACAATTTCCGACATCGAGCGCCCCAGGCTATTGCGCTTCGAGCAATCGTTGTGAAAAAGCGCAGCGTGTGTAAAGCTCTTCCTCCAGTTAGAGCCGCGCTGGCTCGACTCACAGCCCTGAACTATCCGCACGACCGCTACATTTCACCGCACAGTGTGCGGCACACGGCGCACACCAAGAGGAAAATGATCGGGATCGGCCACATGCGAACGGCGCGACTGTTTGTGAAGCCACTAGGACAGACAAGCTGTTTTGTGCATATCAATCGACAGAAAAGATAGATCAGGAATAGTCCCCCCAAAACCAGCAACAAATCTCGCTGCAAAACCCAGTCAAGAACACCCTCTATTAGCAACCACAACACAAAAAAATCAGGTCACCAGATTTTGCACCCACCCAAAACCAAGCACCGATCGACTTCATTCCGGTTTTCGCCTTGCCATTGAGATATCCACCGCTTGTGTTGGATACCAGCCGCTTGTCGATTGAACAGGTCCCCAAACAGGCTTAAAATGTGGCGTCGCTTCGGTTTGCTGTGCTTCCTCATCGGAGCTCCTCTGGGCTCGGCCTCCAGAGCCGCGCACCTCACCATGATGGTGTCCAAGGAGTCCACGGATTCGGCCACCACCACCACCGCCTCCTCCGGCTCCTCAACGGCCGCTGGCACAGTGACAGCCGCCAACACTGACGGATCTTCGTCCTCCACCGGCACTGTCGGTAGCACGACGACCAACTCGTCTTCTAGCAGCAGTGGCTGGCACATGACGGCCGTCACCTCAGTGCAGGCGCGTGTGCAGGGTGACGCCCCTGTGTGGAATGAGGAGGCACAGATGTGGTTGTCCAAGTACGGCGACA